AACCTGAAAACCCATTTTCAGATTTTGACAACAGCTTGGAGAACCTTCTAGTTCAACCCGTGAGGCAAGAGCAAAGCAGCCGCCAGCATGGCCCTCAGAGGCAGGCTGTCTGCATTCAAACAGTAACTCTTCCCCCATTGGCTGTGTGACCCCGGACAAGTCACATGGGCTCTCTGGGCCTCAGTTTCTTCATTTATAAAATGCAGGTGCTGATGCTACCATTCCCACCCAGGAGCACATCTCACCGTGACAGGGCTCAAATGTGTTCATACATGCGAGGCACTTAGAACACTACCTGATACCAAATAAAGCCCGAAAGGGAGTTTGCTATTATTGTCATCCAGATTCAGGTGAATTCAAACTTGAATGCCTTCTGGGATGGAGAACTCACTCCCCACCAGGACTACCTGTTCCCCCATTAGAAGGTTGGGTGTGTCAGGAAGTTTTTCCCTCCTTGAACTTCTCCTCCTGGTCCTGCCCTCTGAGACCTGTCATCAAGACACACGTCAATCCGGGGGCGCCTGGGTGGCTCAGTCAGTTAAGCGCCCAACTCTTGATTTCTGCTCAGGTCATGATCTCACGGTTCATGAGATCGAGCCCCGCGTCGGGCTCTGTGCTGACAGTGCGGACCCCGCTTGGGCTTCTCTCTCTCCCTCTCTCTGTCCCTCCCCCCTCTCGAGTGCTCTTTCTCTCCGTGTCTCAAAATAAATAAACTTAAAAAAAAAGACACATGTCAATCAAAGACAAATGACACCTGCTTGGTGCTGTGCTGCCTCGTTCACCTGAGTTGATCTTCCTTTGGGGACCCAAAGCCCACGCAGCCCAGAGTGCAGTGTGCAGATGTCTGTCCCCATTCAGGGCCTTCCCCTCATTGGTTCCAGCTAAGGAGTTCTGTGTGCCAGGGCCCCAAAATGTCCTCTAACTGGTTCCTGAGCCTCAACCTTCCAGGCTTCAGAAGGGAGGCAGCTGCTGGTGTCCAGGGCCAGCCCCAGTGTGTCTGTAGCTCTGCCTCCTCGAAGGAAGGAAACAGGGCTGAATCTTGCTGCTCAGGACCAGGCAGGCCTAGAAAGGAGAAAGAGGTGGCCCATCTGGCCGGGGCGGTCTGTCCCTTTGGGAGATCACAGAGCTCAGCCAAATGGTGGAGAGCCCACTGCTATAGTCCCAGCACCTGACAGAGAATTTCCAGCACATTCTAGCCGGCTTAGTGTGAATTCTGGGATCAAAGCTGGCTCTACCCCTTCCTGACTATAAAGTGGGGATAATAATAACAGTTCCTGTCTTCTGGGGCCGGACTGAAGAGTGAAGAGACAACCCAGCTCTGCACCTGCACAGAAAATGCTCGATAAATGGGAACAGCATTGGGAAGATGGGCTGAGGCGGGCCCTGGATTTTTCCCACTTTAAATCTGGAAGGATCCTTTAGTCCGTTGCTTCCTCTTACAGATAGGAAGATGAAGGCGCGGGGTGCCTGAGTGCCTCAGTTTCTTAAGCGGTGAACACTCGATTTCGGCTGTGGTCGTGATCTCGTGGTTGGTGGGATCGAGTCCTGCGTGGGGCTCTGTGCTGAAAGAGGGGAGCCTCCTTGGGACGCTCTCTCTCTCTCTCTCTCTCTGCCCCTCCCCTGCGTATGCTCTCTCTCTGTCTCTCAAAATAAATAAATAAACTTAAAAAAGAAAAGAAAAGAAATACGGAGGACGCTCGCTGAGAGGTCCGAAAGTCGCACAGCAATTCGGTTACCACTGGGGAGCAGCACCTGGTAAACTGCCCGGAGGTTCCTGCTCCTTCTAGGCTCCGGCCCTTGCCCTCCCCGAGCGCTCCTTGCCAGGTCGGCCCCGTCTGTTCTGGAGGGCAGGGGAGTCAGGGTGGTGTGTGGCCGGGGCGATGGGGGCCCTGCATCCTCCTCAGGGCGCTCCAGGAGCCCCCTAGCCCTATGAGCCCTGCTGCACATCTTGCAGTTCCCTCTGGCGGCCGCCGGGTGTCGCCACACAGCAAAGAAACAAAAACAAAAACAAAAAAACAGGTCGCGGGCGCCCAGACCTAAGGGGAGTTGAGTCTGGGAGCAGACACCTCCCTGAATTCCTTCGCATCCCCTGTGGGCTCCAGCCCGGGCTGTCTCCGGCAGCTCTAGAGTTTCCCTCGCAGCGCTCCCGACTATTTTAAACCTCTCGCCACCTCCTCTGCCCCCGCCAGCTGCTAAAAGGAAAACCTGGCACAGCCTCTCCCGGCCGAGCGCTTCCTCCCCACACAGTGCTCCGGCCACCAGGGACCCATCGCGGCTCCGAACATGCCAGTGCTACCCACCCTCGCCCTCGCGGGGCCATCCGGGTGGCGAGCCCTCCCTCCCCTCCACCTACGGCCTGCTAGACCTGCGCCTCGAGTATCTCAGGTGCTTCACAATGTACCACAACCCCATAGGCAGGTACCATTTTCCAGAAGGGGAAACTGAGGCACAAGTAACACGCATCGAATCTTAGTTATTATGTGGTAGAGCCAAGGGCTTATGCCATCAGGCTTCAGGGTCCGAGCTCTTCCTTGTAACCACTTTTCTATGCACACTTTGGGGAGGGCCACTGCATCCCTCCGTCCTGACGACGCATGGCGGTCTTACTCTCCTCTGTGGTTCATGGGTGGAGCTCACCCGAGCCTCCGTCATCAGACTGGGAGAGCAGGGCTGTGCGCTTTCGCTTCTGGCCTCGCAGCTTCTGATCCCTGAACAGAGTTGTTCCTCTGGTGGGTCTCCCCTTGGCCCCGGGGCACCTCTGGGTCCAGGGCCTCTCTGTGGGGGTCAGGTGTGGTCACAAGCTGGCAGGTCCAGTCACTTGAGGCTGAGTGCAGCCAGGGCACCTCCCGGGTGGGGCAGCCCCCTTTCCCTCGGCATTGTCTTCATTCACGCCTCGCTTTCCCCTAGCTGTCGGGGTGTTCTAGAGCCAACGCACCCCAGGTCGTGAGAGAGCAGAAGGCAAAACCTCCAGGAAATTTGTGAGCTGATTGCCGAACTCGGCCACTGTTAAAAATCCAATGATAGAAACTTACAATCGAATCAATTACATTAAAAACGAAGCAATACATATTCGACGTCATCACCTCCTTATTACGTTCCTACATTTGTCTGCCATTCGTGGTCTGGAGGCTGCTTCAGTCTACTGGCTCTGGATGTGCAAGGCCTGTATAGTGGGGGCTGTGTAGGGGGTTGAGTGTGACTTCCCATTTCCCTGCTTAGTGACATTGCCCTGGCAGTTGGAAAGCAGAAATGGGCAAATGCTGCACATCAGGGCTCCCCACCCCCAGCGCACCCCCAGAAATCAAGTTGTTAAACATTTGCAAGCCTGAAAGCACCTGTGGGGCAGATGGGCCGGCCCAGAGGGAGCAAGGTTGGCTGACGCCCGTCTTAATCCTTCGCCAACTCTGAGGCCTGGGCAATGTCCCTGGGCCTCACCTTTCCCATCTGCAAAACAGGCTGAGGGGCGCCTGGGTGGCTCAGTCGGTTAAGCGTCCAACTTCAGCTCAGGTCATGATCTCACAGTTTGTGATTTCGAGCCCCGCGTTGGGCTCTGTGCTGATGGCTCAGAGCCTGGAGCCTGCTTCGGATTCTGTGTCTCCCTCCCTCTCCTCCGCTCATTCTCTCTCTCTCTCTCTCTCTCTGTGTGTCTCTCAAAAAATAAACATTTAAAAATAGGCTGAGAATAGCAGCTTTGAAAAATTGAGCATCAACTGTCTTCCGGGAGCTGAATACATTAAGAGGATGGGCACCTCACGAAAGGTGACACGTCCGGTTTGAGCTCCACTCTCAGGGGCTATGGCCTATTGGCCCTGTGATCATGGTTCCCAGTTCACAGGGTGGTTTGGGGGGATTATCTGAGATGACGTGTGTAAAAGAGCTTGGCACCGATCTGGCTCAAGTAATTCACCGAGAGGCTTACGGGTGGGATCTGGACCCGCCCACGTTCGAGTCTCAATTCTTGGGTTCCCGAGATCTCTGGCCAGTCCAGGCACTGCTGTCTCGGCCTCATATTCCCCATGTGAAAAGAGGGATAATAATAGCTACCTTGAAGAGCCACTCAGAGCACTGGAGATAAAGGATGTAAAGCATCTGCCGAGGAGTGCATACCCAATAAGCATGAGTGGTTGTTTGAGATTATCTTTAATTTCTTGTCATTCAGACAGCAACTCTGCCCAGCTCTGCCCAGGGAAGCTGGTGGTGGGGGTGGGGACCAAAGGAGGCAGGACCTTGCCTGGGCAGCGGCCCCCCACCCCCCATCCTGGCCAGGTCAGCCTCTCAGTGGGCCCGGGGCCCTAGAAGGGCTTCCGAGGCGTGGGGACGCTGTTGCTAGGCACCGGTTGCTAGGCAACACACTGTTTCTCCTGGCCTGGCCACCTCCCAGAGGGCCTGGGCTTCTCTGGAGCAGCTCCTGCCTCCCAAAGCCTCTCTCGCCAGACCTCAGAGCCACAGCAGAGGGCAGGTGAGGGTGGGGCCAGCTGCGGTTGGGCCCCAGGAGGGCTGAGTCAACTTCCTCCAGCAAGGCCTGGGAGCCGGGGGAGAGACAAGGAGCCCGGGGCTGGGAGTGAGCTCTGGAGCCCGGGCGGCCAGGAATCCCCAGATGGGAGGGTGTCTGTCCATTCAGTCCGCAGAGGACACCATGAGGGGATTGAGATCAGGAGCTGGCAGTCGGCCACCTATTATGAGCGAATTCTTCATCTTCTGGAAGCTCGGTTTCCCGGCTATACCCTGGGGAGATGACAACAAGGTGTGGGGAAGGCGAAACGAGTGCATATGAGTGAAGGGTTGACAACGAGGACTCTTTTCTTTGGGGTGCGGGTGTCGGCGGAGAGGGACAGGCCGAAGGGGAAGGCACTGGCTGGGTGGGGTTCGAGCTTCACCTCCATGGTCTCTGCAGCCCGGGGCCTGAGCCAGGCTCGGGGCCTTTGGGCTGCTGACCTGATGGGGCTCCTTGTGTGTCCTTCCTAGGTGCCCCCCCCCTCGGGGCCCTGCCCCACAGCATCATGATGGGGAAACTCCCCTTGGGGGTTGTGTCCCCTTACGTAAAGATGAGTTCAGGAGGCTGCACGGATCCCCAGAAATTTTACGCCACCACTTACTGCACAGCCTATGGTGAGGACCCCTTTGGGCAGGAGCCCCCC